TTTCATTCCTTCTCATTGTATCTTTCTCGTTTCTCATGTTTCTCATTTCATATTTCTCATTTTTCATTTATTATTCATTTCCCAGTTCTCATTTCTCATTTCATATTTCACACTACTCATTCGATATTTCACATTTCTCATTTTTCATTTTTTCTCATTATTCATTTCCCATTTCTCATTTATCATTTAACATATCTCACTTTCAGTTCGTGTCATATTTCACATTTCTCATTTCTCACATAGTGTCATTTCTCATTTCACAATTCATATTTCTCATTTTTCATTTATTATTCATTTCTCAGTTCTCACATCACATTTCCCGTTTCTCATTTAACATATCTCATTTTCACTTCGTGTCATATTTCACATTTCTCATTTTTCACAATGTGTCATTTCCCATTTCATAATTCATATTTCTCATTTTTCATTTATTATTCATTTCTCAGTTCTCATTTCACATTTCTCATTTTTCATTCCCCCTCATTGTATCTTTCTTATTTCTCATATTTCTCATTTTTCATTTTCCAGCTCTGATTTCATATTTCACATTTCTCATTTCTCACTTCGTGTCATTTCTCATTTCATAATTCATATTTCTCATTTTTCATTTATTATTCATTTCTCAGTCCTCATTTCTCACATTTGTCGTTTCTAACATTTCTCATCATCCTAACATCTCGTATTTCTCATATTTCGTTTATTATTCATTTCTCAGTTCTTATTTCTCATTTTATATTTCATATTTCACATTTCTTATTTCTCACTTCGTGTCATTTCTTATTTCATAATTCATATTTCTCATTTTTCATTTATTATTCATTTCTCAGTTCTCATTTCTCACATTTATCGTTTCTAGCATTTCTCATCATCCTAACATCTCGTATTTCTCATTTTTCGTTTATTATTCATTTCTCAGTTCTTATTTCTCACTTCGTGTTATTTCTCATTTCATAATTCATATTTCTCATTTTTCATTTCTTCTCATTTCATCTTTCTCATATTTCTTATTTCTCGTTTATTATTCATTTCGCAGTTCTCATTTCTCATTTCATAGTTCACATTTCTCACTTCGTGTCGTGTCTCATTTTTCATTTCTTCTCATTCTTCAGTTCCCATTTCACATATCTCATTCCTCATTTCGTGTCATTTTTCATTTCTTCTCATTTCACCTTTCTCATTTCACACATTCATCGTTTCTCACATTTCTCACCATCCTAATTTCTCATATTTCTCATTTATCATTTCCCATTTCTCATTGTCCATATTTTTCATTTCTCATTTCACATATCGCATTTCTCACTTCGTGTTACTTCTCATTTCATCTCTCTCATTTCTCAGATTTGTTGTTTCCCATATTTTTTATTTCTTCTGATTCCTCACTTTTCTCGTTTCATGACTCATATTTCTCATTCCACATTCCTCATTCATCATTTCTTATTTCATAATTCTCACATTTTGCATTACAATTTCCTATTTTATATTTCTCATTTCATAATCCATATTTCTCAATCCAAACATTTCTCACATTTTTCATTTATCATTTCCTCTTTCTTCTCATTTCTTATTTCACATCTGAATTTCTCATTTAGCATTTCCCATTTCGCTTCACATTCTACATTTCCCATTTCCAGTTTCGCAGCTGGCACTTCGCATTTCTCATTTTACATTTCGGATTTCGGATTTCTTTTTCGAATCCCTCATTTCACATTTTGCTTTACCTTTCACATTCTCGATTTCTCATTTCTCATTTTGCATTCCGCATTTCCCATTTCGCAGTTCGAATTTCTCATTACGCATTTTTTATTTCCTATTTCGCTTCGCATTCCACATTTCACTTTTCGCATTTCTCGTTTCTCATAAATCATTTCTTATTTCGCATTGATCATTTCTCATTACTCATTTTACATTTCTCATTGCCCATTTTGCTACGCATTCCGTATTTCTCATTTCACACTTGCATTACTAGCAAATTTAACGTTTATAAGTCAATAATTTCTGACATCTGTCATTTTTGATGATATGTACCATAGAAATAATATTATATGGAAGTAACTTAGAGAGAGACGCGCGTTGCCAACACAGTGGGACAGAGATAGGGCTCTCTGGGTGGCAAAACATTGACGCGAAGCTGCAGAGCACTGTGTTTCTGGCGGTTTCTTTCGTGCTGTCGCATGGTGTTTAAAGGTGTATTTTTGCAAATTTACGCTTTTTAGGCTCAAGTTACCGTATTTAAATGACTACAGTCTTCTTAAGTTGTATTTTATCGAACTATTTGTTAAACATCGTGAAATCGTGTTGTGCGTATAATTGCAAAGAACGTGCAAAGAAAGCAATCCTGTTTCATTTCATAGGCAATAATCACATATAGAGACGAAGGATTTCGTAATTATAATTTAAAAATTTTGTTAGATTTCCTAAACATTCCGAATTACGAAAAAAATGGATTGTTGCTACAAAAAGAGGGAATTTTATATCTATTGATTATTGTTTTAGTTATTTGTACGTGGATTTAGAAAATAGATTTTGCTAGAAAATTCCACCCTCTTTAATATGTTCAATTTAATTAGGCACCCTGTCACTTTTATCGAAAGTTTAATTAATTTTATCCTAAAAATTTCAGATTTACCAATGAACATACACTACAAAATTAGTTAACTTGTAGAAGATTATTGTATTAACTGAATTCGTAATATATTGTAGATTGTGTATACATTTTATTTTATTAAAAGACTATCTCCACCACTTAACATGATTTTTGTTGTTTAATATTTCACATAATTTTAATGTAAACTGTAAAAATATAGTTTTCATTAACAAACGTTTGTTATAATTGATTGTTTGAACAAATTCGTAAGAAAACGTATTAATTCCCGTTCAAATGAAGCGTTTTTTGCCACCCAGCACGTGCTAGTGGTCAGCCGTCCTTTTCCCACTGATGCCATAACAACTCTTGCTATTTCTTTCTTGTGTTGATTACACTCGCTCGCGTATGGAAACGTATACAAGGCTCCATCCACTCCTTTATTAGATCAATGATATGTACACAATATACCCTCATTCTCTGCTCTCGTAGGGATATAACCCAAACTGTATTATTGGTTGCCTAAAGCAAATTTTTAGCTACCTTTACGAATTGTATTACAGGCTTGCCAACTTTAAGGTAACTTCAACAACAACTCCTACGGATATTTAGACAACGCTGTGATAATGTATTATACAGTAGCGGTCATTTCTACGGAACCACTCGATAAAAAGTCAAGTTGGTAGCCCTGTCATCTAGTACTTTACGCCGAACGCGGTTGGTAGCGGTAGTTGACATGGCAATCGAAACTAGCACAACACGAATGTTTCGGTTGCCCCCAGTTATGCCGCACTGTATCCCGTGCAGACTGTATGTTCTGTTCATCTATTTATTAAAATAAAATATCTACATTGACAATGGGGCCATCTAACCTGTCAAATTTTTGACACATATGTTTTCCCCCAGAAACCCGTCAAGGTCACTTACACCAAACAAATTTTGAAAATTTACACTAGGGAGTGGTTCTATAGAAAAGATCGCGACTTTAGATATGATAACATGTCTTCTTCCAAAGAACCGCATGGTAAACTAATGCGAGCAGAAAGTGTAGAAATTAAGCCAACAACAATATTAACCCTTATACAGGGTCATTATAAAATATTGTAGTCGAAGAAGGCCATGATTTTGGTGACATTTTGTGCCGCCTTTTTCAGTTTTGTGGAAAGGATTACACTAATATTGGAATTTTTATTTTTAGCGCCACATTAGTTGACATTAGCACCAGTGTTGCCACTTCTACCGAATTTTCGGTAGATCTACCGATTTTGGGCTCTGTCTACCGATCTACCGATTGAAACACAAAATCTACCGAAAAGTCTACGATAATTCAAGAATTTATTTTTAATGTATTTATAAATTTTCAATAATTTTTTTTATATAATTCTATTTCTTAATATTTTTTTCAGTATAGATTTAGTTCTGCGGATTTGTTTAGTTCCCTCTATTACGCACCAGCGTAACCACTATACATTTTTACAGATAGCGCCAAATATCTATTCTTTTTAAGCGCGTTATAATTAAAAGGGGATTTTTTTTTAATTAGTTAGACAAAATTCAGTATATCCCCGAAACAGTTCAGCACCTGAGGCAATAATTAAGGGGAATATTATAGTTTCATTGTGTTTTTATTTTTAACAAAATGTTCCTACTACCTTTAGCATGCTTACTCATAGATATATTTTTTTAAATGATCTATGTTAATATTTGTTTTTTATTTGTTTCTTTTTAATAACAAAATATTTCTACCTTCTTCATATATGATAAAAAAAAAAACGTACCTATTATTTATGTGTAATACCTTTTCTATCACAAAAAACCGATCTACCGAAAAAATGCCGAAATTTACCGAAAATTATCCAAGAAATCTACCGATAGTAAGTAAAGCGGCGTGGCAACGCTGATTAGCACAGACATTATTAGTTCTGTCAGATGTCAATAATTTTTTCGTTTGTACTGGTACGTTTTCCCTCACTTTGTGCGTTAATTGACTTGTCTTGTTTTCATTTTTGCTGTCTTCCCCATTGTTAGAACTTTAATAAGTGTCTCAAAAAACAGTTTTTATCAAAACTACAGATCATTGTGGAATAATCTCAGGTAATGAACAGAGAGGAATAACTATGGTTAGTGTTACAAATGATTTTTTTAGTTCTTTGGCGCAATCATCATGCCTATTACCGTAATGGGGTGTTAAATGAGGATGGGGATGGAGTGTACTCTGTGGAGGCGTCTAAAAACGAGTATCTAGTGAAATGTTCTGTTGTCATTGATGAAGAATCTTTGAAGACGCTATATGGCGAATTATGGCCAGATTTAACGACACTGGTAGCATTTCTAAGTGAAAACCGACGGGGAGACCTCAAGTTAGTGAAGACGTTGTTGAAGATTTAAGGATGAGAATGGAACAAAGTCCGAATAAAGCTTTGTCAAAAATCTTTACTGTCCGGAGTACCATACAGCCCATGTCAGAAAATCGTAAAAGAGAAGTTACATATGCATCCATACAAGATTTTGTTGGTTCAGGAGCTGCAACCAGCTGATTTTCCTTGCCGCGTTGGGTATTGTAGTTGGTTTCAAGCTGATATGGACGATAACGGGATTCTCGATTTGTCGTTCTTTTCTGATGAAGCCTGGTTTCATCTGTTAGGCTATTATGTCAACAGACAGAACTTCAGAATTTGGTGTATAGAAAATACTCACGCTTTTGAAGAAACACCATCACACGCAATGAAGGTTGGTGTGTGGTTAGCTGTTTCCAGACGACGATTCATAGGCCTGATACTTTTTCAAGTAAATGAATGTGATCAATAAACAAAATTAGATGTAGAAAGTGTATGTAGGTACTGCAATAAAGTTTTTTATTTTCAGTAACTTTCATTTTTCTTTCGGTGTTAGTTGCATTTTCTTAATTTAAAACTTACTTCAACTTACTGTTTAGTAATAATTGTAATTTTACTATTAGGAAAGTTAAAAATCTTTATTAAACATTCTGTTGTTTCAAGAGATCTCATAATCATCTACAGAACTCTTAACACTATGCTCCTGAAATTTTATTGGTTTTTTCATCTTTTTTGTTATAGAAATTTTGAAAAATCTTGATATTAGGATGGCCATGTGGGCGTGTTTTGGGTAGAACCTCTTTGACATTCCTGTTATGCAGATCTGGCATGTTTCAGATATCTAGAAACTGCAAAGCTGAAGGTAATGTTTGGACATAGCAGTTTTCACCTATTGTAGGGATGAAGATCAAGGCTTTCAGTTGTAAGGTGACCAGACGTACTCCTTTGAGGAGGACAGTCCTCCTTTCATGTATGCTGTCCTCCTAGCGTAAATGTCCTCCTCGTGTCCTCCTCAAATAAAAAATATCCTCCTTTTTGATTGATCAATTAAGTTGCTTTACTTTTTTACGGTTTACGTTAGTTCTATGGTAAATTAATTTAAATCTAGAAAATTTACTGTAGTTGTGTTCGTATTCCGAGTGCAAACCTCAGTGAATGGACAAAACATACAGAAGATCTTGATGTTATGAATTGGACTTTACTGAGATCAAATTTTACGTGGGAAGAAGTTCAGACGACGATACAATTTGCATTGGAAAAATGTAATTGTGTTATTGACGACAATCGTTTATTCGACGCAATACGGAGATTACAAATTTATTGCAACACAAAATTTGAAGAGTGGAACGAACAAAAAATGGACTGTGATAAAAGATGGCTTGATGTATTCAACCATTTTAAAAATCAGTATATTCCGTGTGAAAATTTAAAAATATTAGTTGAATTATTTCTTTGTTTGCCAGGCACAAACGAGTCGGTCGAAAGAGTCTTCTCCATTGTTAATGACGTTTGGACTACCGAAAAATCGCGCTTAACAGTAGAGACTCTTTCGGCAATGACTGTTGTAAAATGTAACATTAATATGACATGTCAGGAGTTTTCTAAAATGTTATCAGAAAATGAAGTACTTTAAAAAAAAAAACATTCTAGTGATAAGTATACATAGTAATTTCTATAGTTTACCTTATTAACCCATGTAAATTAGTATTAAAAAGTTAAAAAAAATCCATGTGTATTTTATTATTATTATTACGCGTCCTCCTCAGCAATTTTGAAATTCTGGTCACCTTATCAGTTGTGTTTTTTCAAGAGAAAAGCACCGGTCACAAACCATGTCTGCACCAATATTTTGACGATTCCTTACAATTTACAAACAGAACTTTCGCGGGATCACAACTTTGGCAAAATTATTTACTGCAAAAACTCATTAGGTACTCATAGTATTCGTTAACTGTGATAAGACTTGCTCTGCCATTGTCCATTACGTGATTTTTCACAACTTTTACCTTCAGGGTACCTATAAAAATGTAATTTTTTAAATAATTACCGTGTTCATTGGTTTCGACAAACTTAACCTCACTTTTTGGATTTCATTATTTGAAAAATTATTGCTTCTTTGCAAAACAGACCAGATGATTTATTCTGTTCAACTCCAATCGACTTTCCAAGGTGTAATTCATGACAAAGCCCTTAAACGTTTTTCATAGGTGAGTTGACTACAGTATTTTATAATGACCCTGTATAAATCAGAAATAAATTTTCCAATTTGTTATTTTTTCCTTCAACTGATTGTTTCCTAGCAGTATAGACATTCAATAAACGCAACACCTTAAGTTTCGAAAACTTAATGCACAAAAAACAAACATAACCTGGAATTTAGTTACTTTTCAAGTTAATCCTTGATTGAAAAATAATCATAGTTACAATGGCACCCGTTACCAAAGCAACGACACCATTATAAAAACAAAAAATCAACACACCTTGTTTGTCAATGTTCCGAAAGTCACATTTCTTCCGTCAATTTTTTTTGTTGCTGTTACTAAGAATCAGATAATGGACCCTGAAGAAAGAAATTTGAGCTTCAACGAAACCACCAAAAAGTGGCATTGGTCTCCACCTAAGACAATAGAATACCACAGGCGTGACCACCGGGAGACGCTAGACCTGCTGAAAAAACTAATTCAGTGCCCGGGTAAGTAGCACATGCGCAGAAATATTTTACAGTTACACACGGGTTTTTCAAGCGTGAAAACGGCACTACCATTTACTAATTTGTATTTGTTCAACTTGAACTACTTGCTTAGACCTCCAAGTGGAACACATTGCTCCCCTACGACCCATGCCCAAACCCTTACCCCTAGCCCTCAACTCCCTAAAAACCGAGTCTGCTGTCGAATCCATGTTCCCGTTCGGCAGCACCCTGGACCCCAAACCCCCCAAATTCGAACTCATGGAAACCTACCTCACCCCCAACAAAAACAACAAAAAGTGGGTAAAAGCCAAACTTATCCACGTCGGCGAAGACGTCGTCCACCTCGCCGACAACCAAACCTTCAACGACATAATAACCACCAAAAAAAACATAGCCTACCCTGAACCGCCCACCCGAGTCCTAGAGGTTGGCAGCCGTGTCGTGGCTTTGAAAAAACAACTATCGACCACCGGCGAACTGTCACGAGGACGACGCAAGCACGAAAAGGGCGTGGTTATGGAATTTCCAACCAACCAGAACCTACAAAGGTCTGTCAAAGTAACGACTCGGCGCGTGTAATGTCGCGATTGGTTGTAGATATTTGGTGGTTTTCGACGACGGCGACTGGGCTTACGTGAAGCCGGATGAAGTGTGGCTTCTGTGTTATCAAAGTCCGAGGGCTTGGGACGACGTACCTGAGGAAAATAAGCACATCGTGAGGTACTTTTTACACGGGTTATATCAAGCAATAACGGACTTCGAAAAGGGTGATTTGGTCGTGTACGAAATGAGACCCAATGGTAAGTTACGTGGTATGACTAACACGTTTTTTTATGACACTTTTCAGAATACCAACATGGCGTCGTTATAAAAGTTGACGTTTCTATCTTGTACGTGTGGTTTTCTAAATATTGTAAGTGTGTGACACTTTATAAAGGTCTTGCAAGTTTTAGAGGTTGTTGACAGTTTGTTCTATTTTTAATAAATAATTTATTTTATTTGTGTTATTACGATTAAAATTAGTACATCGCCAGGAGACACTCTGTTATCACCACAGTAGATCAGTAACGAAACTTCAGCAATATTTGCGGAACGGGTACACAAAAATAAAAATGGGTGGCATGTACTAGTGACATTGGCCACTTTTTTCTTTCTTATAAATTATTAATATATTCAAGCAAAACATTTTTATTCAATTTTGACGTTTTAAACTGCGTTTATTAAATCCTTAACAAGTCTGACAAATAAGTTGTTATCCACAAGTGAATTGCAAAATTTTTATTTCACTCTTAATATTTTTAAATCACTCACAAAAAAATAAAAAACAACCTCAGGAACATAAATATTTTGCTTATTATTTTTAATAGTTTTCACAGAATACAATTTATTTACAATTTTCACTAAAAGGTTGCTGCAACTAAATCAGTATTGTTTGACATATGTATTTGTTTGGCTCTGTGAGACGTCAATTTGGGAATTGTATAAATCCCACACCAATATAATTCCAAAGTGTGTTTCGGAAACTATTTACTACAGATTATTTCGATACGAGTGCAAGAACCAACTGTGAAACACTATTTTATTTGAAATGAAAAATTTGCTAAGGTGTTCTTTTAAACAAACTTCCACAACACATCTCCCCTGTATTCCAGCCTCTTCAACAATCATTAAGTGATGTGAGTTACCGGAAACTCACCTTGAAAGAACACAACTGTTTATGGTATGTTTGTGGATACTCATTAATATGAAAATTCTTACACCACCACTTCTGCGAAGTTTGTTGTGAACTTTGCACATTCTTACGAAGTGGTACATACAGGTATATATGTATATAACCCCGGAACTTTGGCACGGTCGGCACACTATGGCAACACTGTAGTAGATCAAACGCATAAATTAGTCAGTTTCGCACATAAGGAAAATACGGCATAGTTCAGCCCCTCGACGATAGATGGCCAAACAAAATTTAATTATATTTAAAAGGCACTTTGGCATTCTTATACGTAACACAAAAGGATTTGTGTTACGTATAAGAATATTCTAAGTACGTCACCCCTAGAATTACTTTTTTAAAAAATAAAACATTTCGACACAATTGTTTGTATCTGGAAATTCAAAGTGGTTTTAGATGTTCCAATAGCCCAAGTCAAGCGGAAATTGAAACCTTTAACAAATAGAAAATACTAGGGAAGTAAAGGCATTATTTGTTGTCTTTATTTCGCATTTTGCTAACAGTGACCGGGACTAAAGTGTGTGCCAAACTACCTGTTGTATGCGTTCGGTACGCATTTAACAGGGAGTTTCGCATGACATTTATTTTCCCCCAAAATTTTAAATCAAAAAGGAAGTGATTTTTAAGAACAAAACACTCTATGTTACTCATAAGAATATTCTAAGCACGCTGATTATACTGTATTTGCTTAAAAAACTAGGAATTTCTATGGGATAGATTGTATCTGGGTGTGCTAATGGTTTTCGATGTTCCAATAGCCCAATTCAAGCGGGAATTAATATTACCTACAAGATATTCCTAATATAAATACAAAATTTGACAACAATCGGTGGCTCGTAGATTATCTGTATCATAATTCATAAAAATCCGGGACCGCAGACAGATGTACAGACAGACGGCCAGACAGACAGAAACGGGACACCTTCGTACTGTAGGTGTCACGGAAGGTAGAGAAAACGTAAAAGTAGAGAAAACCGCTTTTTTTAGATTTACAGTTTTGTGGAAAAATACAAATCATGCGAAACTGCCTGTTAAATACGTACCGCATGCATGCAACAGGCATTTTGGCACAAACTTATTTACCTGACAGTGTCAGCAAAATGCGAAAATTATGACAATTAATGACGTTTTTAGTTTCCAAGTATGCCACTCTTGCTGAAATTTTAAATTTTCGCTTGAATTGGTCCATTACACCATTAAAAACCTCTAATTAGTTTGTCCAATAAATACGTAAATCCCTGGCAATTTAAGCAAAATGCTAAAGTAGTGAAACTTAATTTTGTTTTTACTTCCCTAATCACTTCTGTTTGCTAAAGATGTCAATTTCCGCCTGAGTGGGTCTGTTAGGACATCAGCACCCACTTAACATGTCCAGACACAATTCATAAAGTGGAAATATACTTTTTTTTTTAAACACATACTGCAGACTACTTACATTTAACTTGCTCAGAATATTCTTATGCGTAATATGAAGCCTTTTGTTGTTAAAAATCCCTTTTTTTGATGATGAAATATTATAGGAAAAAAAAACATGCGAAACTGCATGTTAAATACGTACCGTATGCATGCAACAGGCAGTTTAGCACCAAAGATACCTGTCAACGTCATCAAAATACGAAAATTATTCCAATTAATTACACCCTAACTTCCCTAGTATCTCCTGTTTGTTTAAGATGTAAATTACAGTTTGTATTAGGCTATTGAAACATTAATAAACCGATTATTACGTTCAAATACATTACTTACTGCAGAAGTTGCTTGTTTTCGAAAAAATTCAGTAAGTACTGCATTA